GAGTTATTTCCACCTTTGGTGGATGATTGACCTGCTGTGCCTCAGCTCATGGCACATCCGTGGTGCAGACAGTCTGAGAATCAAAGTCTTGGGGCTCAGTAGGTTTTTCTGACTCACTGATGTTGCATTTCCTTTCAAGTCTTTATTCTTCATCATTTCAGTATTTTTCCCAAACGTAATGATTTAAGAGAACACGTCACTAGCAGGCTTCTTATTATTAGGGCCATATTAGGTTCCCTTAAGTTTATTGTGACATTGGTTGGCAGTGTTGAGGTCAACAGCTAAATCTCTTCTTTCTCCACTCTGAATGGATTGCTTTTTTCTAATTAAAAAAAAAAAAAACCTGAAATGTGTTACCATCAGTACTTATTCTTTCCTTGTTCACAATAATTTGTTTGAAGGATCCTTCTATTTTATCACAGTTGTACTGCATAAAACCCCAGTGACAATAAATTCACATGGGCAATTCTGGAGTTCTTTCGTTTATTCTGCTACCTTCCCCTTAGTAAAGAATGAAAAGTCTACGACAAGATTTTGAATGCCATATTAATTAGTTTTTTAAACCACTGATTTTTTCGTTTACTTAAATATTGTCTTTCCTCCATTTTATAGGAAATTTTGAGAAGGGAATATACGATGTTCATACTTTGTAAGCAACAGGGAGGGAGTAAAACCATATACAGATGAATCCTCACATGAACTCCTTTCTTCAACAAGACCTGGGGTCTTTTTTTTTGTTTGTTTTGACAGGTAGAGTTAGACAGTGAGAGAGAGAGACAGAGAGAAAGGTCTTCCTTCCGCTGGTTCACCCCCCAAATGGCCACTACGGCCGGCACGCTGCGCCGATCCAAAGCCAGGAGCCAGGTGCTTCCTCCTGGTCTCCCACGCGGGTGCAGGGCCCAAGTACTTGGGCCATCCTCCACTGCACTCCCAGGCCACAGCAGAGAGCTGGACCAGAAGAGGAGCAACCGGGACTAGAACCCAGCAGGCAGAGGATTAGCCAAGTGAGCCACGGCGCCAGCCCCCTGGGGCCACTTCTGCCTGTAGTGCACACTGAGTCCACTGGCACCTGTGGAACAGAATGAGCAGTTCCCATCCTCCGTCACCAATGCTGTGTTTGATTGCTCCCTAACCCCGCTGACATAGACCAACACTTGCAGTGTCTGCCCCACCTGCCACATCCCTGCCTTTCACGTGTGGTCCCACCTGCCTGCCAAGGGTGGTCCCACCCTGAGCATTTGCTGAATGACTTCCTTGGAGTCCAGTGCCTCCATACACCTGATTATCAGTGTCTGCTACCAAGGACTGTGCTTGCTGCAGGATACCTAGACCCTCTCTTGTCCTAACTAAAGTCCCCTTCCTGGACCCTCCTGGCCAGTCAGTGTTTCAGTTACCTGTGCATGGCATGTCCTCTGCTGGAAGCCAGATAGAATGCGCTGGAAAATGAACCTATCTCATAGCAAGTCCTCCAGCATCCAACATGCACAAGAAAGCACGTGACTAGGAAATGTTCTGGGCAGCTAGAGCTCAGAGTGGCTCTTGTGTTTCACAGGAGGGCGAAGAAGAAATTGTTGTGGGGAGTAGGAAATTCCGGTGGAAAATACATTCAGTCGTGTTTGGTGAGGCTGGGAAAATTATGTGGGGAGGCGAATTTTTCCTTCTTCAAACAGAGAAAGGTGGAAAAATTCAGCAAGATTTTGTTACATCAGATTCCCGAGATACCTGTTGAGGATAAGTTGAGAAGATTAAGCCCGAGTCTTGTAGGGTGGATACTGAAGGTTCTGCTATGATCCACCCAGGATGGCGTTTGCAGCCCCGTCTCTGCTGATTGCTCAATGTCAAAGCTGCACGGGGTGCCAAGTGTCTGTGATTTCAAGCCTGGCTTAAAGAACAGTCCTTAAAACACAGTGCTAGAGGCCGGCGCCGTGGCTCACTAGGCTAATCTTCCACCTTGCGGCGCCGGCACCCCGGGTTCTAGTCCCAGTCGGGGCGCCGGATTCTGTCCCGGTTGCCCCTCTTCCAGGCCAGCTCTCTGCTGTGACCCGGGAGTGCAGTGGAGGATGGCCCAGGTCCTTGGGCCCTGCACCCCATGGGAGACCAGGAGAAGCACCTGGCTCCTGCCTTTGGATCAGTGCTGTGCGCCAGCCGCGGCAGCCATTGGAGGGTGAATCAACGGCAAAGGAAGACCTTTCTCTCTGTCTCTCTCTCTCTCACTGTCCACTCTGTCTGTCAAAAAAAAAAAAAAAAAAAAAAAAAAAAAAAACACAGTGCTAAAGAAGCATTGTCATCACCATCAACAGACCATCACTTTACTTTCAAGGATTGGGATATTATAAAAATCATTTGAGTAATTTTCAAGAAACAGAGTTACTATGAAAATACACATGAAATACATATTTTGTAAAGAGGTGGATAAATTCTGATTAGCTAAAGCTATTAAAAATGAAAATCGGGGCGGGCACTGTGGCATGGTGGGTAAAGCAACCGCCTACAATGCCAGCATCTCATATGGGTGCTGGTTCTAGTGCCACTGCTCCTCTTCCAGTCCAGCTCTCTGCTAAGGCCTAGGAAAGCAGCAGAGGATGGCCCAAGTCCTTGGGCCCCTGCACCCACGTGAGAGACCCAGAAGAAGCTCCTGGCTCATGGCTTTGGATTAGCCCAGCTCTGGCCGTTGCGGCTATCTGGGAAGTGAACAAGCAGATGGAAGACTTTCTCTCTCTCTCTCTCTCTCTCTCTCTCTGCCCCTGTAACTCTACTTTTCAAATAAATTTTAAAAATCTTTAAAAAAAAAAGAAAATGTGCTATTTCTAATGTATTAGTCTGAAGTCACATGAAAGGGTGAACTAAAAGCTTTCAAGAATCTATTTTTTTAAAAGATTTATTTATTTATTCAAAAGTCAGAGTTACACAGAGAGAGGAGATGCAGAGAGAGAGAGGTCTTCCATCCAATGGTTCACTCCCCAGATGGCCACAATGGCCAGAATGCACCGATCCAAGCCAGGAGCCAGGAGCTTCTTCCAGGTCTCCCACGTGGGTGCAGGGGCCCAAGCACTTGGGCCATCTTCCACTGCTGCTATCCCAGGCCACAGCAGAGCTGGATTGGAAGTGGAACAGCCGGGACTAGAACTGGCACCCATATGGGATGCCGGCGCTTCAGGCCAGGGCGTTAACTTGCTGTGCCACAGCACCAGCCCCTTCAACATTATTTAAAGAAAGTTTGATCCACCTTGACTTATTCTATTTCAGCTGATTAGTTATTTTTAATTTTTATTGCTTATTTTCATTTTCTTTTAAAGGCAAAAAAAGAGAGAGAGACAGGGGAGAGAAGTGTTCCATCTGCTGGTTCACGCTCCGAATGCCTGCAACAGCAGGAGCAGCGCCAGGCCAAAGCCAGGAGCCCCAGAGTAAAATCTGAGTATCTCATATGGGTGGCAGAGACCCCAGTGTTTCTGTCATCATTTGCTGCCTCCCAGAGTGCACAGTGACAGGAAACTGCATTTGAAGCAGAGCAGTCCCAAGGAGTCCAGTATGGATGTGGGTCCCAAGCAGAATCTCACTCACTGAGCCAAACGCCTACCCCAAAATAATTTATTTAAAACTCACACATACATATATGCAGAGATTTTTCTTAAATCTTTATTTTTTAGGATTATACATGGAAATATTTATGGAAAAATAGTATTTATCTCAAAGTAACCTATTGCAGAAGAATTTGATATATTTGAATTTAAAAGATTGGGGCAAAATATTTTTAAATAAAAAAATAAAAGATCATCATGAGTTGATCATTGTTGAAACTTACCGATGAGTACATAGTAATAATTACATCATTCTAATATTGTATACATTTTTAATTTCCATATAAAAAGATTAGAACACATAAATCACCTAGACACTGTTTAGTCTGAATACGTGATCAGTCCTGGATTCTAAGACTCCACCACCTCCAACACCAAAATCCACAGACGCTCAAATCCCTCCTACAAAGTGGCATAATGTTTGCATATAACTTGCACACACCTCCCTGTATGTTTAAATCATCTCTAGATTACTTATCATACCTAACACAATGTAAATGTTATTTAATAGTTGTCACGCTCTATTGTTTGGGGAATAATGACAAGAAAAAAAGTCTGCATATTCAGTACAGATGTAATTTTGGGGAGGGGAGAATATTTTCCATCTATGCCGTTTATCGAATCTAAGACTGTAGAACCCACAAATATGGAGCCTGTAGTCCCAGAACCTGCAGATAGGGAGGCCGACAGCCATGCACACTCACTGGACAGTTTCACTGAGGCCGTCCTTGGCATTGGCGTTGGGGGGCAGTTAGGACTCGACTCTTGGAAATACCCAAATGATATTTCTGTCACAGTTAATGACCCACAACCAGCTTCTCCTACCCACTGTTACTCCCTCACAACACTTTGCCTGGCTGGGACCACCACTTCCTTTGGTGTAGGAAGGAAAGCCTACAATGTAATAAATGCTTTATTTCCATCTCTTTCTCTTAGCCACGTGGCCACTTGAGTTCTAAGTGTTCATCACGCAACACTTTTAGATAAATGTACCAAAAGCAGCTATGTCAGAGGTATCTTTGTTGGCATCGAATGGCTTGCCTGGCATCGCGCCCATGTAAGGGGCAGCTCTTCACTTCACTGACCCAACTCTGTGGTCTGACGCTTTCTCCTTTCCTACGGAGGCCCCTGCGAGGAGGTGGAGTCCCCAATGATGTCCACTGCGTCTACTTGGCTCCAAGGAGACTCACTGAGTGCAGAAAAAAACCAAAGTTGCTTGGTTGCTTTGAGGCAGTTCTCATGGTCTGGCTCAATCTTGAACCAGGCAAGTTTGATGATGGTCAGGCATTGACCTTCAGGCTGAAATGCACCTTCCCAACACATCTGCCCACCCACCAGGTCTTGGAGAAAAGAGAGATGCAATGATTATTGCAGGCTCACACTTCTACTAGACTGTTAACATCCGGGCTTCTTCCTTTTCAGATGGGGGAGTCAAGTGAAGATATCGACCAAATGTTCAGCAATCTACTGGGAGAGATGGACCTTCTGACCCAGGTAAACTTCCCTTCTTACCTTGAAATTGGATGGGAAGTGGGGTTAGGGAATTTAGTTTCAGTGAGACGAGAGAATTGTCTTTAAAAATAAGCAAACAAATCGGAGATTGGCAATAGTACATATTCCTGATACAGCTGTGACAATGGTGGGTTCACGAAATTAAGCTTTTCTCTGATTGTTCCCTTCTGAATTCAGTTACTTTAATCCTTTGGTCACACATCCACTCTGTCAGGGCAGTGCTCATGTCTCTGTGGGCAGACATTTGGCATCACAGGAAATCTCCCCCAGCAAATTTCTCTACCACCACCACTTGGCAATTTTCCCAAGATGAGCTAGGAAAATGACATCATCCTTATTCAAGATTTTTTTTTTAACCAACCCTTGAGGAAATGTTACATCTTAAAGATCTCCATGTGGCCTGACCACTCAGTTCATCGCTTTCTCATGTTAAATATCAAAATAAAAATGACTCCATATTTCTAAATATGATAAAGATCTTACATTTTCTCCAGAAACAATGCAATTGGTCCATGTTTTCAAAGACTATTTATTTTAGGAAAAAGAAACCCATTTTAGTTAGTATCGATTTTACATTCCTCATAAAATTCAAAAAGATGTAGATTCTATAAAAGATGAGACAGAATATGGGACCATCAGCTTAGATGGAGGGGTGCTGGTTCACGGGTGACCTCATTTCTCCAGATGAGAAATGTTTTTCTTGCCGGGGAGGCCTGCATGAACGCCAGAGGCCTCTCTCTGTGCATTCGCTGCTGCAGCCTGCAGAACTCACTGTTTTGACTGGTAGGAGTCTGGGATTTTCATGGGACCACATATGAGTATGGCCAAGATAGCGCAAAAGTAAGCAAGCACCCCTCTGCATGTCCCAGACGTGCCCGCCCTCGAGGCCCTTGGGTTTTGCTCTTTCTTTGTTGTGTAGTCGTAGGTTTGCGTGGCTTATGCAGGCCCTCAGTACGTAGGCTTCCAGACTTGAGGGTAAGGAAAAGGCCCTACCTCATCCTTGAGTCTAAAATCTCTCCTTCAATCTGCCCCCTGTTAACTCTTCTTTGGGATTACTGGGTATTTCCTCAGCCATTAGAAAAGGCGACATTTTGGCTGGTGCCGCGGCTCACTAGGCTAATCCTCCACCTGCGGCGCCGGCACACCGGGTTCTAGTCCCGGTCAGGGTGCTGGATTCTGTCCCGGTTGCCCCTCTTCCAGGCCAGCTCTCTGCTGTGGCCAGGGAGTGCAGTGGAGGATGGCCCAGGTCCTTGGGCCCTGCACCCGCATGGGAGACCGGGAGGAAGCACCTGGTTCCTGGCTTTGGATCAGCGTGGTGTGCCGGCCACAGCGTGCTGGCCACAGCGGCCATTGGGGGGTGAACCAACTGCAAAGGAAGACCTTTCTCTCTGTCTCTCTCTCTCACTGTCCACTCTGCCTGTGGGGGGGGGGGGGGAGTGGCATTTTGTCACCATTTGCGAATTTTGTGCCTATTCTATTCTTTAAAACTAGGATGTGGTTGAGAGGGGCAGATAAACATGGGTGTTAGGATAATTTCCCAAAATAGGAAAAAATGAAACTAAAATATAATAACATGATTGTAATTTTTTTCCTTTGAAATAATTTCAAGTTTACAGAAAAGTTAAAAGAACAGTACAAGGGCAGGAATTTGGTGTAGCGATTAAGATGCCACATGGAATGACCACATCCCATATCAGAGTGCCTGGATTCAAGTCCTGGCTCCCTTCAAATTCCAGTGTGCACCGTGTGATGGCTCAAGTACTTGGATCCCTGCCATCCATGTGGGAGACTCAGATGGAGCTTCAGGCTTCTGGTTTTGGCTGGCCCAGGCTGGATGTTGCAGGCATATAAAGAGTGAAGCAGAGGATGGGGGAGATCAGTCTCTCTCTCTCTCTCTTTCTCTCTCTCTCTCTCTTTCAAATAAAATAAATAAATAAATTTTTAAAAAATAGTACGAAGAACTCCAGTTTACTTTTCTGCCAGATTTCTCATTAGTTAGCATGCTAGCCTATTTGTGTTAGTGTCTCTCTCTCCCTCTCTCTATCTCCTCATAAAGATGAAATTCTAAGTAACTGGCAGAGAACTGTGTTGGGCCAATGCATTTGGAATATCAAAAGCTGCATTTCTGCAGCACACCTTACGCCCTAATGAGTTCTGTAAATCCATGAAGAAAAGGTGCCAGAAATGTTTGTGTCATCTGAAGATGTGAGTAGCTTTTTTTTTTTTTTTTTTGGACAGGCAGAGTGGACAGTGAGAGAGAGAGAGACAGAGAGAGAAAGGTCTTGCTTTTGCCATTGGTTCACCCTCCAATGGCCGCCGCAGCTGGTGCACTGCGGCCAGCGCACCACACTGATCCGAAGGCAGGAGCCAGGTACTTCTCCTGGTCTCCCATGGGGTGCAGGACCCAAGCACTTGAGCCATCCTCCACTGCACTCCCTGGCCACAGCAGAGAGCTGGCCTGGAAGAGGGGCAACTGGGACATAATCCGGCGCCCCGACCGGGACTAGAACTCGGTGTGCCGGCGCCACAAGGTGGAGGATTAGCCTAGTGAGCCACAGCGCCAGCCATGAGTAGCTTTTCTAAGCAAGGTAGAATACCCAGAACCTATAAAAGCAAGAGTAAAATATTCTAAATATAAATTTTTATTTCTTCATGGCAATATGAGTATAATTTCCTCCTGGCAATATGAGCTTGTGAATTCTTCACAGCAATATGCATTCAGAATGAAAATAAAAATTAACAAAAATAAAACTTTTTATTGGCCACCATTGGAAATTGCTAGAGCATTCTTATGACTCTGAAAAAGTGATAAACAGAGGGAAAAAATCGAGAGTTTATCTTCGTTCCCCTCGGGTCCTAGGAAAACTTTATTTCAGAGAAAATAAATAATTGCTGAATGGAAGTTCTTCTTTGTGGCAGAATCCCAGTAAGTACGTTGGAAAATCGCTGCTGTGGGCTTCTCATCGAACACATTTCGAGCGCGTGGTTCGGAGCAGTTCAGGGTAAAGCAGGGTTCTCAAGTGTCAGTCGTTCACCTCCATGGATTTTGCCGCATCTGGAACCACCGCACTTCTCATTTTCTTAATATTTCTCATTCAATGATTCTTTGAATGTCATTCGAGCAGTGAGGTGTTCTACCTTGCGTTTTGTGTTGAAGCATCCGAACAGACACACAGTTTACCTGTTCAGTGTTTGCATCTGCGTGTGCCACATACAATCACTTTATTTCACAGAGAAACGCCGCCCACTTCACTGCATCCCGGGCTCCGAATGACTCTCCATGATTAAAGACCTCCTTCCAGAAATCCATTGCCTCTCTCTCCCCACCACCCCACTTCACTAGAACTCCGTTGTATCACAAATTCATGTATTCTGTTGGAGAACTACTTCTAAATTCATTAAAAAGCAAAATAGACTATATTACTGAGAAAAATTAGTTGGCTCCCCGAGTAGACTGCTTGTTTTGACATTTAAAAACAAACTCAAGTAATGAAGTTTATTGTACTTTCCCTCAGTAAATTTTCCATTCATGTGTTTCATCCATCAAACTCCCTTTTTCCAGGAATTTTTTGAGGGATCATTTTGTTTTTAAAAATGAATTTGGGGATAATAGTCACTTTGCTCTATATTTTACCTTTGACTCTTAATTGATTGGATTAATATTTGAGCATCTTCTTGACTAATAGATTTTTGCCTACTTAAAATTAAGTATATTTCAGTAACTTTCAAATACATAATGATTGGTTTCCTTCAGAATTTTAAAAAATAAACAAAGGTATCAGTTACTAAATCAAATTAACACCAAGGAAGTATGTACTATCATAAAAACATTCACGCTTGAGAATAGGTGAAGAATTCATTTCTCAAATTATAGACAAAAATATTCTTGGAAATGTAAATTATAAATGTCATATGACTTTAAAATCATACGATGAGTCACTTGTTCCTACGTTTTTAAAAGCACTGTTTGTGAATTAGTAATGTCTATTATGTCCTAATTTGTTTTTAAGAAGAGTATCATTAGTTAATAACAGCATAGTATTTTACTGTACGATGGCAGATTGCCCGATAACTTTTATATGATTACTTATATCTTTATAGAAGCATAGATATTATATGTATTCTTTACAGGAATCTCTATGTTTTACCAAAATAAGCTCAACAATCTCATTCTCAATCATTCTCAGTTGACAAGTTCTGTTTCAAGATATTCCTTCTAGAACTTTTAAGATGCAGTTTTCTGTAGGGGAAAAGAAATCGCACAAAACATTTTCAGACAAGAACATGGTTCTTAAAGAACCTATTTAGACAAAAAGTGTGTAAATAATAAAGATTTTTTTTGACTTGTTGATTAAAATGTACCGCAAAAATATTTGTCTTGAATAACTTGGAGCGGGGGGGCTGTTTTCACAGAGTTTAGGAGTGGACACCCTCCCTCCTCCTGATCCTAAGCCACCCAGAGCTGAATTCAACTATAGTGTGGGTTTCAAAGATCTAAATGGTAAGTACAATCATTTGTCTTCTTCAGTAATTTTAAATAGCAGTGACGAAATTCTGTATGGAACAGGCATGGGCAGGTAGCCTAGCAGTTAAGATGCCCGTGTTCCATATCTAAGTGCCTAAGTTCAAGCCCCAACTCCAGCTCCTGCTAATGTAGTCCCTGGGAGGCAGCAATGATGACCCATGCCACCCACGGGAGACACTTGGATTGAGTTCCTGGCTCCTGGCTTTGGCTAGGCCAAGCTTTGGCTATTGTCTACTTCCCAAGTAAACCAGTGGATGGGAGCTTTCTCTGTCTCTCAGCCTCTCAAATAAATAAATAAATAAATATATTTTTACAAATCTGTATGGAATTACAGTTTGAAAACAAAATTAAAGAGATCTGGACGTAGTGATAGATATCATTGTTAAAATCCTTGATTTCATTTTTTTTATTGTGTCCAAATTGAATTGAGAGCCAAGAAGATATCTTTGCCTATAATGAAAGGGATCATCCCACATGTTTGAAAAGCCTCAAAACTGTCTTGTTTTTTGAAAAAGTAAGGGGAGTTTTTTCTTGTTAATAAGCCCACTAGGCAATCAGGAGTAGTATAGGAAAATATCAGTAAGAAAATGTCCCATTAAGAATGATAATGAACTGTCCATTCCATAATAATTGATCAAAACTGACTGAGTGCTCTGTTGGTCCTCAAAAAATTCACAGAAAAATGTATATTCTAAAAAAAGCAATGTGTGGATCTCAAAAATGTTTTGAGTCAACACAAATGAATTTTTTAATTCCATTTTCCCTGAGCTTTTTGAAACTCCCTAATATACTCATGAATAATTTATTTAATATTTTTCAGTTTTCCTTGGGTTGTCACTTTATTGCCACTCTTCTTCCTTGGTGCTAAGTCTTCTGCCCATGTGTTATTCAAATGATAGTAAGTCTCCACTAATGGCTTGCCAACTAATGAGAATTCAGTACAACCCTTGGAAAACATTTGCCAAATACTTGGCAGTACCTGCCCAAAGTATAAAAAATAGTAAGACAGAAGCCAACGTACAGGAATCCAGAGTTGCTTTGTTTCTGTCAATGCAGTTTTTCAGTAAATCATCAGGGGCCACTGCCTGTTTCTTGGTAAACATAATGCGTCTCTTCCAGTTTTCTGTTTCCTATACTCTTATCTGTTTGCTGCATAGCTGATTTCTGGCCATGATTTCTATCGAGATGGTAACACCCAAGAAGTTTTGAAAAATCAACGCACGTGTGCAAAATGACAACAGCAATAAATAACTTAGGATCGCACATATGAAAAGTGTAGGCTGAATCACACCACACTCATAATACCTGAGTGCTTTTTAATCAGTTCAGCTAAAAAATAAAATTTAATCATTTCTTCAATTGTTGTCTATTCAGTGCTTTCAGAGGGCTAATGCAGTCCCCAACATCAAAAAAGTACTGAAAATACTAGAAACAAAGAAATCCAGCCATGTATGGCCCTAGCAGTATTGCAGCACGGTCGCAAGAAACTCCGCTCGTTACAGACCGCCTACGCGTGTGGCCTCATTTGGGTTTAGGACAAAACTGTTAAAAAGTACCGGTGTGTACAGAAAATTAAATGTGCTGGGAATTGCATTAGGAATTGATTTTTTACTGTTTTTGCTTTAAAATAGTGCTAGAATGAGTTAAAAATAATTCTCCCAGTATCATTCAGGGAGTTAGCAACAAATTTCAGAATGAAATTCATTACTGTCTCATTCTCCAATTCTATATTACTCATTTCTTTAGTATTAAATTTAATTAATTTTTTAAAAGATTTATTTATTTGTTTGAAAGTCAGAGTTACACAGAGAGAGGAGAGGCAGAGAGAGAGAGGGAGGTCTTCCATCCGCTGGTTCACTCTCCAATTGTCCGCAATGGTTGGAGCTGCCCTGATCCGAAACCAGGAGCCAGGAGCCTCCTCAGGGTCTCCCACATGCATGCAGGGGCCCAAGGACTTGGGCCATCTTCTACTGCTTTCCCAGGCCATAGCAGAAAGCTGGATTGGAAGTGGAGCAACCAGGTCTCAAACCTGCGCCCATATGGGATGCAGGCACTTCAGGCTAGGGCGTTAACCCGCTGTGCCACAGCGCCGGCCCCTAAATTTAATTAATTTATATTAAAATATTTAATCTGTATTAATTTACCTAAGTGATCTTTATAGCTATATTCATAAATGATGTCATAAGTTAGATTAATTTTGCTGTGAAAATTAATATGTGTCATTACCAAAATTTTGTTCCTATAATTTTTATAATTAATTCAAAGGTTTAGATATCAAATATCCATGTTTTTGATTGTTGGGAAATTACAACTAGGCTTTCTTAGTTCCATATGTTTTCACTGAAAATGTTTTAAATTATTTTAACTTGATTTTATGAAGAAATTACATGTAACAGTGTGTTAGAGGAAAATAAACCTTGTTACACATTCGGGAGATTGAAACTCTCGCCCAGCGCTGTACGCTAGAGCCACTGGCATTCGTGTGATCTGCTCCATGGTGTGCATGATGCTGACGATTGGCAAGAATCGTGTCTCGAAGCTTTCTGTGTGTTCCTTACCATGCAGGCTGCATTTCCCTGGCCCCATTTCCTTGTTCCGGTTGGTGCGACCCACAGCTGCTAGAATCCCCTCCCTCCCGGGAGAGGGCGGTTCCATCCCTCCCTAAAACTCTTCCCTGCCCCTACTCACCTAGGGAGGGCCTGGTGGACCGTGGCCCCACTCCCACCACGCCACCGCAGCCAGCCGCTCTCCCAATACCAGCCAGCGTGGGTCAGCTCACACTTGGAAGGAAGTCCCAAGTTCAGGGTCATCATAAAGCCTTCACATTGAATCTCTGAGTAGCTCTCTGCCTCCTCCACAGTAGTGCCATACTGGCTGCTGTTCATGATGAGTTACTCTTATTTCGGATGCACAGTTTCCTGTTACTTGGGTGGTGAACCTTACAGGGACCCCCCTGCTCTCCACCCCCCAGTGTAAAGGCATTAGTCTCAGCGGTGCTCTGTCTGCCCTCCCATCGCTGTCCAGTATCTGCCTCTCCTGCCTCTCCAAAACTCTAAGGTCTTGCCCTAGAATGTTCGAGAATCCCCCACTTAGGCCTCTGTCCCTGGGCTTGCTGGTGTGTGAGGCGCTCTAGTGTGGAGCACACATCTCCCTTTTCTTTCCTCGGTGTGAGGAACTCCCCTGAAGCCCTCAATAAACACAGCAGTCATCACTTTAGGAAATGCTGCACTTGTGAGTGTGCACTTGAGTAGAACCGTTCTCAGGCCTGTTCATCCTATCATAACAAATCAGATGATTCCCCCTCCCCGAATGGTACTCTTCCAAAGGGCCTTCTGGGTCAGGCGTTTGGCACAGCAGTTAAGATGCCCCCCTGGGACCCCTGCATGCCAGAGGGGAGTGCCTGGGCCTTGAGTCCCTGCCCCACTCCCAATTCCAGCTTCCTGCTAGTGCACACCCTGGGAGGCAGCAGTGATGGTGCACGTCCTTGTCACCCACGTGGGAGACCTGGGTGAGTGCTGAGCTCCAGGCGTTGGGCTGGCCCAGTGCTACCTGTTGTATGCATTTGGGGACTGAACCAGTGGATAGATCTCTCTGTGTCTCTTATTTCTCTGCCTTTCAAATAAATACAAATTAAATGAATTTTATAAAAGATTTATTTATTTATTTGAAAGAGTTACACACAGAGGGGAGGAGAGGCAGAGAGAGAGAGAGAGAGAGAGAGAGAGAGAGAGAGGTCTTCCATCTGCTGGTCCACTTCCCAGTTGGCTGCAACAGGCAGAGCTGCGCTGATCCGAAGCCAGGAGCCAGGAGCTCCTTCCAGGTCTCCCATGTGGGTGCAGGGCCCAAGCACTTGGACCATCTTCTATTTATTGCTCTCCCAGACCACAGCAGAGAGCTGGACAGAAGTGGAGCAGCCAGGACTCGAACCAGCACCCATATGGGATGCCGGCACTGCAGGCAGTGGCTTTATCCACTACGCCACAGTGCCAGCCCCAAAATGAATTTTTAAAATAATGATAATGATGCTATTTTTTTAAATGACCTTCTGTCTGTTTTTCTAGGCTCAGATTTTTTTTTTTTATCACTAATATAATTTCTCCCCATCAGAGTCCTTAAACGCACTGGAAGACCAAGACTTAGATGCTCTCATGGCGGATCTGGTGGCAGACATAAGTGAAGCTGAGCAGAGGACAATCCAGGCACAGAAAGAGTCCTCTCAAGGCCAGCATCATTCAGCGTCTCTGGGGACACCAAGCTGCAGCGGCGCGGCCTCTCTCGCTTACGGAGCGAACGTCGCGGCCACCAGTAGCAGCGAGTACGAGAATGATTTGCCTCCTCCGCCTGCTGACCCTGTGATAGACCTTCCACTGCCACCACCGCCCCCCGAGCCTCTCTCTCAGGTAAGTGTGCGGGGCCAGGGCCCGCAGGAGGTCTGTCCACCTCTGCTGCCCGTCGGCTTTCCTTTCTGGGGAGTGATCATTGCGGTCATCAGAGCTCTGAGATGCTGAAAAGCAAGCGTGCTGAGTGTGTTCATTGCAAAGCCACAGCGGGCATAAACAAGAGGCATGGGTGTGCACACAGAGCGTACTGGGGTGTGGTAAGCCCGCTGCTCAGGGCACTCACATCTCTTAAGGGAGTGCTTGGGTTCAAGTACTGGCCCAGTACGGATTCCAGCTTCCTGCTAATGTGTACCTCAGGAGGCAGCAGGTGCTGGCTTAAGTACTTGCGCCTCTGCTACGCACATGGGAGACTCGAACTGAGTCCCTGGCTCCTGGGTTTGGCCTGGCCTTCACCTAGCTGCTGTGGGCATTGGAGGAGCAAAGCAACAGATAGGAGCTCCCTCTTCTCTCTCTGTTTCTCAACTAAAGAAAGTTTAAGAAAAACTATCGGGCTCTTATTCAGGATTTATTATAGTTTAGTTAAAAACCATACTCATATTTGTATGCAGACACTCCCTGATTATACTCAACCTCTTGGGGCAGTGTTTCATTAACTGTGTGTGAACTGTGGAACTGAATTGTATATTTCCATGTCTCCTATTCTAGCCTAAGATATTCATTACACATTTTCTAAATTGGACTAACTTGAGTTTTGTTGAATTTGTCTACCCTGTTCAGAAGGGCAAAAATGTGACCAAATCTCATATCATAGTGGAGGGTGTGGGGGCGTGAAGCAGACAGGTGGTGAGTGCTTGATATTAATAGATTTCCGAATACTGGAAGAAAACAATTAGAAAGTTTATATTATCATGATTTAGGACATTAACTCATAATATGCCGCTGATAGAAGTAAAGCAAATCTGCCTACAGATTTTTCTTAGAATAAGCCACTTACGAATATTGTACAGAGCCAATGCTGTGGCACAGTAGGTTAAGCATCTGCCAGTGGTGCCAGCATCCCACATGGGTGCCGGTTGGAGTCTCAGCTGCTCCTCCTCTGATCCAACTCTCTACTAATGGCCTGGGAAAGCAGTGGAAGAAGTTTCAAGTACGTGAGCCTCTGCACCCACGTGAGAGACCCAGAGGAAGCTCCTGGCTCCTGGCTTTGGATCAGCCCAGCTCTGGCCATTGCAGTCATTTGGGAAGTGTATCAGCAGATGGAAGACCTCTCTGTCTCTCCCTCTGTCTGTAACTCTGCTTCTCAAATAAATAAATAAATCTTTTAAAAAAGAATATCTTACAGTAGGAGCCCAGCCCCACTTCCTGTGACTTCTACATTTGTTATTCTGTATAATAATGATCAGGATTCATCAATGTGAATGACCCTAAAGTTCATAGCATGTCTTATAAATGCAATAATATTAAAATAAGCCAAAACTTAAATCATCTGCTATCCCACTAATTGCTGTATATGTATTTATTATAGAAAAATTATTTGAAATGGATGATCAATAGGGAGCAAGCACTCTTAATATGGGGTCTGTGAAGATTTTAAGGAGGCCAGGAATCCCCTGGAATTAAATACCAAATTCAACGTGAATGGGAATTTCTACAGAGTTCCTAACACTAACACATCTTTAAAGGGGCTTTGGATCAGCTGGCACCGCGGCTCACTAGGCTAATCCTCCACCTGCGGCGCCGGTACCTCGAGTTCTAGTCCTGGTTGGAGTGCCAGTTCTGTCCCGGTTGCCCCTCTTCCAGTCCAGCTCTCTGCTGTGGCCCGGGAGGGCAGTGGAGGATGGCCCAAGTGCTTGGGCCCTGCACCCCATGGGAGACCAGGAGAAGTACCTGGCTCCTGGCTCCAGATCAGCACAGCACAATGGCTGTAGCAGCCATTTGGGGGTGAACCAATGGAAGGAAGACCTTTCTCTCTCTGTCTAACTCTGCCTGTCAAAAGGGGGGGGATCCTATGGGTCAAAAGGAATTTAAGAACCCCTGGTAACGGGCCAGCATTGTGGCTCACACTGCTCCCTGCTGACGCATATGAGAAAGCAGTGAAAGATGGCCCAAGTACCGATGTGGAAGACCAGGATGGAGTTCCTAACTCCCGGTTTCTGCCTGGCACAGACGCAGCTGTTTGGGGAGTGGACCACTGAATGGAAGATCCATCTCTCTCTCCAGCACTCTGCCAATAAATAAATAAATATTTTAAAAAATGGTGTAAGAAGATCGAAATCTAATTTTAATGAAACCGGAACAGCTTATTTCCCTATCTCTATAAATAGCAAAAAGCCTTAATAACTGTATTCCCAGAATATTATATTGTGTAAATCAAAGGGCTTTGGGCTTGTACGATTCTCTATCCTGTTCTCCCTGTTCCTGTTTCTCAGTGCTTTTGGTGTAAATGTTAAGCTTGAGTCTTAATTTTGGGGCAGTTAAGGACCATTTTAAGAATCACATACCTAGGAATCCCTAAAAAGATGCCTTGATCCAAAATTATGCATAAAACTTCAGGAGGGCTCAAATCCTTTGAAAAAGGTCCAGCTATGGATTCCTTAGGGTAGATCCCAGGCTGGGAGCCAAGCAGAGATTTTTGTGCTCTAAAGATGTGACATTAAAGACATCATTTTATCTGTTTAATTACTACTCCCAAGATACAAAGGGTGGCTGCTGCCCACATCTTGGCTGCAGATTTTTGTTAGAGTTGTGTGAAATTCGCTAAGGTACTCACTAAGACAGTGGGGGTGGCGTGGGGAATTCCTCACTAACAGTAGTTAATGAGCTGTTGTTGAATCCTTTGCAATTTTACAGGAAGAGGAAGAAGCCCGGGCCAAAGCTGATAAAATTAAGCTGGCGTTGGAAAAACTGAAGGAGGCCAAAGTTAAGAAGGTAAGCTGTGGATAGCAGCAGTGTTCACCCTAGCTAAAATATGGAATCAACCAAGGTGTCCATTGTGAGGTGAGGCCATAAAGAAAATGCCGTATATGTATGGTGAAATAGTATTCAGCTGTAAAAAAGAGAGTGGAATTCTGTCATTTGCAACAAAAAATGGTTGGAACCAGAGGACATCAAGTTGAATGAGATAAACAGATACAGAGACAAACACCACACATTTTAGCGGGTGCTAAAATTAGAGAGAGAGAAGGAAAAGAGGGAGGGAGGGAGGGAGGGAGGGAGGGAGGAATAGGAGAGAGAGGAAGAAAGTAATGCTTGAATGTGTGAGTGTGTCATTTTTGCTGCAAATACAGTGTTTTGTCAAACTATTTTAAATCTTTGTCGAACAAATTGATATGAATTCTACACTGCTCTAGGTTAAATAATTTCGTGTGAGTGAAGCTGAATACCTTTTCCTTTTTTTTTTTTTTTTTTTTTTTTTTTTTTTTTTTTTTTTTGACAGGCAGAGTGGACAGTGAGAGAGAGAGAGACAGAGAGAAAGGTCTTCCTTTGCCGTTGGTTCACCCTCCAATGGCCGCCGCGGCCGGCGCGCTGCGGCCGGCGCACCGCGCTGATCCGATGGCGGGAGCCAGGAGTCAGGTGCTTTTCCTGGTCTCCCATGGGGTGCAGGGCCCAAGCACTTGGGCCATCCTCCACTGCACTCCCTGGCCACAGCAGAGGGCTGGCCTGGAAGAGGGGCAACCGGGACAGAATCCGGCGCCCCGACCGGGACTAGAACCCAGTGTGCCGGCGCTGCTAGGCGGAGGATTAGCCTAGTGAGCCGCGGCGCCGGCCCTGAATACCTTTTCCTTTGATAATTATGTACAGCCTGTGCCTGCTTCCAGGTCAAATTGTGGAGTTTTTTTTATTCTTTATTTGTAGAACTCTTTATTTGGTGTAGCCAATAAGCCTTTTACAATAATGTAAATGAAAATGTTATCTCAGAAAATAATAAATGAGACCTTTTTTAAAAAGCAAAGCACATGAATTCTGGAGCCACACTGACCAGCACATTTTAGCTGTGCATTGTAGACAGCTCACTTGGCCTCCCTGAGAGTCAATTCTGTCATCTGTTAAAAAGCATAATAAAATAGTATATCCTAAAAAAGAAGGTACACTCTTACCAGTTTTGTATGGGGGAAATTAAATCCATGACATCTTACACTTAATGATTAATAACGTTTAAAATGTTGAGTAGTACTATCCAAACAGTTGCAAGGTGTTTTTTTCTTTTGTTTAATCTAATTTTGGAGACAAAGATGGATTATGGGCCGGTGCCGTGGCTCACTAGGCTAATCCTCTGCCTTGCGGCACCGGCACACCGGGTTCTAGTCCCGGTCGGGGTGCCGGATTCTGTCCCGGTTGCCCCTCTTCCAGGCCAGCTCTCTGCTGTGGCCAGGGAGTGCAGTGGAGGATGGCCCAAGTGCTTGGGCCCTGCACCCCATGGGAGACCAGGAGAAGCACCTGGCTCCTGCCATCGGATCAGCGTGGTGTGCTGGCCACAGCGCGCCGGCCATGGCGGCCATTGGAGGGTGAACCAATGGCAAAGGAAGGCCTTTCTCTCTGTCTCTCTCTCTCACTGTCCACTCTGCCTGTCAAAAAAATTAAAAAATTAAAAAATTAAAAAATAAAATCAAATTTAAAAAAAAAAGATGGATTATGTAGTTATTTCTTCTGTGATATCAGCGCATTTGGACTGATACATGGTGGACTTATAGTCACATAAACATGAAACTTTCCTTGGCCTGTCTGGGATGTTTTTGTTGCTTTCCACATTTTTTTTTTTTCCTAAGAGCTGAAATTGTGGGAGTAGAATTTACCGTCAAGAACAAAGGGAGGCCGGCGTCGTGGCTCACTAGGCTAATCCTCCGCCTTGCGGTGCCGGCACACCGGGTTCTAGTCCCGGTCGGGGCGCTGGATTCTGTCCCAGTTGCCCCTCTTCCAGGCCAGCTCTCTGCTGTGGCCCGGGAGTGCAGTGGAGGATGGCCCAGGTGCTTGGGCCCTGCACCCCATGGGAGACCAGAAGAAGCACCAGGCTCCTGCCATCGGATCAGCGTGGTGCACCGGCCGCAGTGTGCCTGCCGCGGTGGCCATTGGAGGGTGAACCAACGGCAAAGGAAGACCTTTCTCTTTGTCTCTTTCTCTCACTGTCCACTCTGGCTGTCAAAAAAAAAAAAAAAAAAAGGGAAAGGCTCTTGGCTTTGCTGCTGCACAGGCTTGGGGACCTTTGAGCTCTATTTTTAAGACACTTTAAGTAAATTTCCACATCCAGAGCCCCCTCCCTTGAGGGGAGACCTCCGGGCCTTTGCACAACCCTCATGTTGCTGCAGGTGGTGCCGCCTTCTGACCTTTCCTGAGTTGGAGCACACCTTGGCCTTGCACTTCTTCAGTTGCTTTTGTGCACATTTCCCATCCTCTGGGCAGCCCCTAACCCCCACCCCCACCCCCACCCCGGCCTGCCCTGGCTGTCCAGGTTGTCCCCCAGGATGCCACAAGTTATTTTGCTAGTGTTCTGGTCTCTCAGTTGCATTGGTGTTGAGTGAGCTGCCCCTGACCTTAGTTTCCCAATAGGCCTGTAATTTTTTTTTTTTTTTTTTTTTTTTTTTTTTTGACAGGCAGAGTGGACAGTGAGAGAGAGAGACAGAGAGAAAGGTCTTCCTTTGCCGTTGGTTCACCCTCCAATGGCCGCTGCGGCAGGCGCGCTGCGCTGATCCGATGGCAGAAGCCAGGAGCCAGGTGCTTTTCCTGGTCTCCCATGTGGGTGCAGGGCCCAAGCACTTGGGCCATCCTCCACTGCACTCCTTGGCCACAGCAGAGAGCTGGCCTGGAAGAGGGGCAACCAGGACAGAATCCGGTGCCCTGACCGGGACTAGAACCCGGTGTGCCAGCGCCGCAAGGCAGAGTATTAGCCTAGTGAGCCACGGCGCCAGCCTAGGCCTGTAATTTTATTGTGCTATTTTTACAGAGCATAGGTTTCTTTGGAACATGTGCGTTATAACAGAATCATCTCTCTTTAACCTCACTGAAAGTACACACCTGGGGCCAGCTTTGTGGCACAGTGGGTTAAGCCACTGCCTTCAACACTGGCACCCCATGTGAGCATGTGTTCAAATCCCAGATGCTCTGTTTCCGATCCAGCTCCCTGCTCATGCACCCCGGGAAAGCAACAGAAGATGGCCCCAGTACTTGGCCCCTGCACCCACGTGGGAGACCTGGGTGGAATTCCAGACTCCTGGCTTCCACCTGGCCCAGTCCCAGCCACTGCAGCCACTTGGAGTAAAGCACTGGATGGAAGATCTCTCTCTCTCTCTCTCTCTCTCTCTCTCTCTCTTTCTGTCTCTCTCTCTCTGTAACTCTACCTTTCAAATAAATAAATAAAAATAGTTTTTTTAAAAAAAGTACACACCTGATGATAAAGTGCTATTACTAGTTAATTTGGTAAATTAAGGGAAAGATTAAGGTATCTTCCTCTTATTTCAACTCCTCTGTGAGTCCTCAAGGAGCAACTCTGTTTCGTGCAGAGTTGGGTGAATTATCTTTGGTGTCCTGGTGGGCTTGGCACCGTATACACCTATGGCTCCTCCCACAGCACGTGGAGTGCAGGTGCCTAACACGTGATGCTCGTTAGTCAATGGAGACAGCAGTGTTCATCCTAATCCTTGACCATTCCTGGGTCAGGTATTCATGGTTCATCAGAGACAGTCTTCCCAAGTCCCGCGTGAACTTCCTTGCTGTTATTCTGCCCGAGTCTCTGCCTGTGATGCACTCCCACAGTCCCTCAGTGGCTGGCACAGTCTTGGCTGCTGGGCTGTATCTCACCCTCTCCCCTGGCCCAGCCTGGGCCCCCAGTGGGGCCTGCAATCACTCACCCACTACTCTTAGAAAACTCTTTACCCCTCGTCCTCTCTTTGAACACCTCTTTTTCTAAGCCACACTGTCTCCACTACTGATTTTGCTGCTTTTTCTTGCCACACAACAGACAGCGAGAGCACTTAGCCATACTTTGGCTTAGATGAATTATAACAGTAAGCACAAAACACAACACACCTGGACTCGCCAGAGAAGCAGTCGCTTGGGTTTATGGGAAAGGAAAGAAACTGATAACAGGAGTTGTCTGTTTGCTCTGACCTCAGACACGACATATGTATTTCTTAATACAACAGCCTGTCCATGACACAGAACATGAAGAAAGAAGCTATGATGTGCTCACACGCAATCTACCATGTGCTTTTTGTTTTTAAAGATTGGTTTTATTTACTTGAAAGACAAAGTTACATAGAGAGGTAGAACCACAGAGAAAGAGAGGCTTCCATCTGCTGGTTCACTCCCCAAATGACCGCAATGGCCAGAGCTGAGCTGATCCAAAGCCGGGAGCCAGGAGCTTCTTCTGAGTTTCCCACACAGGTGCAGGGGCCCAAGAACCTGGGCCATCTTCCACTGCTTTCCCAGGCCATAGCAGAGAGCTGGATTGGAAGCGGAGCATCTGGGACTCGAACAGGTGCCCATATGGGATGCCGGTACTGCAGGACAGGGCTTTAACCCTCCGTGCCACAGTTGGTTCACCCCCCAGATGGTCGCTATGGCTGGCACGCTGCACCGATCCGAAGCCAGGAGCCAGGTGCTTCCCCCTGGTCTCCCATGAGGGTGCCTGGGCCATCCTCCACTGCCTTCCTGGGCCACAGCAGACAGCTGGACTGGAAGATGAGCAACTGGGACAGAATCCGGCGCCCCAACTGGGACTAGAACCCAGGGTGCCGGCGCCGCAGGCAGAGGATTAGCCTAGTGAGCCGCGGTGCCGGCCTATGTGTTTTTAGAAGATGGAAATCAACTCCATCTGAGGGACCTGCCTCCAGTATTCTGAGGGATGCTGACATCTTGAATGGCACAACACTTTGGGAACTAGAAACAGAATCAGGCCCTTCCTTTCAAGTTGTGTATGTGTTTATTTTAAAGTTCTGTAACCCAAGAGAGTAAGTCTATTTGTGAATCCTATTATAGAAGCAAAAATATAAATGATTTAGGGTTGGGATATTTTTTACTTAACAGCTTGCAAAAGAAAAATAAAAAGAAATGATTAAGACTAGAAAATCTTTACTGTCATGGATTAGAAAGGTGATGTTTTTCCATTCTCAAATCATTTTGCCCCATATCATAGAATATAAATATGAAAGTACTTAGCTTGCTAAACCGTATCACATAACTGTGAATTAGCACTATTTTGGGCTGCTCTAAAGCTAACAGTTTGCAAATGTGGAAACTAGAAAGAATAGTAAATATGATTTCTCCTTGTTGAAAGTCATCAGCCTTCTCTTGGTTTTGTTGTTTTCTAAGTTTAATGATTGTGGACATTCATAAATATGTGTGGATTAAATCTAGTTGGCACATTCTGGAAAAAAAAACTTCTCATCATTTTGAAATTATGTGGTTTAGTGTTCTCTCTTGCTCGTTCTCTGTAAAAACAAAAGAAAATGCCACCATGTTTTATTTTCTCAAGAATTTCTAAGCAAGAAGGCAATGTGGTCAACCGTCACCATTTTTCCCAGCCAGGAGATTTGTTTGTCAAGCCCTCGTGTGGATTGTGTTTCTGAAGTCACAGAACCCCCGACAGCAATGGTTCTCAGCAGAAAGCAGCCAGCGTGCCCTCCGCAGAGAGCACATCGCGGGCCAGGCTGCCCTTGGAGGATTTTCTGTTTTCCCTACAGCCCTGCAGGCCTCACTTTGGAGGCCAGACAGATGCCTCTTTGACACCGTGGTACTTGAGCCTGTCCTTTTAAATCCATCAAAAGACACTTGTAGGAAAACCTTCCAACCACAGGCTTCTGGACTACAGATTTTCAAGGTGAAAAAGTACAGTTGTCCACAATATCTATGAGGGATATTGGTTCCCAGACCCCATCAGATGCCAAAATCCACAGATGCTCAAGTCCCTAATATAAAATAGTGCCGTGTTTGCATAGGACCTGTGGCACCCTCCTGTACACTTCAAGTCATCTCTGGATTAATTCCAAGACCCATCACGGTGTAAATGTTTTGTAACAGTCATTCTATTGGATCCTTTAGCAAATAACAACAAGAGGAGAAATTGTCCATACATGTTCATAAATTGAACTTGATTTCCCCAAATATGCTTGATCTAGGGATACGTGCTGCAGAGGGCTGACTGTATTCTTTAGGGAAGTGTGGAATAAGAGTCTAATTCAAAAGTCTCTAGAGGAGAAAGTCGTTTCTACTGCCCTGTTGTCTCCATTTTGATTCTTGGGGATGTGGCTTTGGGAAGAGAAGGAGCTGTGTGGTGACCTGCTCCTCGCTCCGATGTCTTCACAGTAACTCCGATCTGTTAGCTACGGAGTGCTGCCAAGGACAGGGGCAGGAGGAGTGAGATGGAAGGGGCAGTGTCCCAGCTGTGCCTGCCTTTTGGAGAGGAAGACATTCCAGTCTATCTACCCACTTTGTCAAGAAGAATGAGTCTCATTGCTAAGTAGCCCAGGGCCAGCCCTCAGGAAACACACGACAAATACACAGGAGGGACCCTGGCAGCCTACTTCACACATTCATTCTGTTCCCTTAGGTCAAGGTCAAGGTCACTCTGTAGGACCAGAGTGTTAGTAATTTCCACAGGAGGCCTAGAAAAAGTCCCTAGTATTATGTGTCTTCATGGAATATTAGTAAATTCTACTCCCACCAAACTTCCAGATTTGGTTCACCCTCCAATGGCCGCCGCTGCAGCCGGCGCACCGCGCTGATCCTGGCAGGAGCCAGGAGCCAGGTGCTTTTTCCTGGTCTCCCATGGGGTGCAGGGCCCAAGCACCTGGGCCATCCTCCACTGCACTCCCTGGCCATAGCAGAGAGCTGGCCTGGAAGAGGGGCAACCGGGACAGAATCCGGCGCCCCAACCGGGACTAGAACCCGGTGTGCCGGCGCCGCAAGGTGGAGGATTAGCCTATTGAGCCACGGCGCCGGCTCAAACTTCCAGATTTGGAATGAGGTAATTACCAACTTGACCATAAATTAAATTCTGCTAAAAGTAGATTAGATTGGTCATCTGCCTGTCTGCCTCCTGGCTGTTGGTCTCTATTCATTTCACTGAATCCATCTCTGGTCTCCAACGTGCTGTACTGTGAACCTGGTTCTCAGTAAGATCACTCAGTGACAACGCAGCCACAGTGCAGCCATACGCCTTCAGAGAATTGATGGTAGGTGAACCAAGGACCTAGTGTTTTGTGCTCTTGGGTTATGTGACATGAGACGCAACTCCTGCTAAGCAAAAGAGAAGAAGGTATATTCAAGATACAAGCCTGGTTGAGTCAAGTCCCAGCTACTCCCCAGTCCAGTTCCCTGATAATGCACCTGGGAAAGCAGCAGAAGATGGCTCAAGTACTTGGGCTCCTGCAACAGATGGAGTTTCTGGCTCCTGGCTTTGGCCTGGCCCAGCCCTGACTACTACAGCCATTTGGGGAGTGAATCAGCAGATGGCAGATTTCTTTCTCTATATATTTAACTCTGCTTTTCAAAGAAATACGTAAATCTAAAAAAAAAAAAAGTGTGGTTTTAAGTCAAGAAAAAAGTCAGCTCTTATTCAATTCTGCCTGCTGGTGTCTCCCCAACCAGAATGCAAAGTCTGAATGCATGCACCAGCACTTGGTTTATTGTCTGTCTTCAGGCTTTGTGAATTGGTTTCTCTACCTCTGTATTCCTAGCAGCTAAAACAAGTGTCAGGCGTAAGAGTGAGTTTATAATGAGTGAGTTCACGGGACACATTCTTCAACTTGCAGACTCCGTAGCGACTTGAACCCCTTGCTCTTGGTGGCCTTCTCCAGTTACTGAAATCCGCTGACTCCCTGTGCCTCTGTCCCCCTCAGCTGGTGGTCAAGGTGCACATGAATGACAACAGCACCAAGTCACTGATGGTGGATGAGCGGCAGCTGGCCCGCGATGTTCTGGACAACCTTTTTGAGAAAACTCATTGTGACTGCAGTGTGGACTGGTGTCTGTATGAAATATACCCGGAGCTACAGATCGGTGAGTCCCATCCCCAGCAGTGGGCTGGACTCCAGACTCCGTGCAGCTTTGCTTTACGATGACTTTGCTCTCTTTTCAAGAAGAGTTTGGGTCCAGGCATTCATGACGCCCCATCCATCTCTTCCCTTATGGGAGGTGCCGTGCTTGCCTCTTCATTTCTTTGTGGTGAAGCATGTGGGAATGGGGCAGGTGGCCAGACCTTGGGGAATGTAAACATCATTATTGCCACTTGTTTTTATTGCACGCTCAGCAAGCTGCGTAGATTGTGGGAAAGCCCTGGTGTCAGCTCACGTCACCTTAGAGGTGGCTTCCTTACACCGTGGTGTGACTGCTTCGGGCTCGCACCTGTGCTCACCTCCCCTTCCCCCCTCCTCGCTTGCCTTCCATGAGACAAAGTGCAAGAGGGAGGTCGAGCCCCAGAGAGCAAAAGATACGTTTGTAGAAATGAATGAGGTCCAACATCTTTTAAAAAGCAACTAAAGGAATATTCTGAACGCTCCATTACTTCTCATTCTTTTTTAAATAATTTAAATGTTCATTTTATTTAGGAGGCAGAGAGACAAAGACAGAGAGAGATCTTCCATCTGCTGGTTCACACCCCAAATAGCCAGGGGGTGGGCCAAGAGCCCAGAACTCAACACAGGTCTCTCAGGTGTGCAGCAAGGTCCCAAATACTTGAGCCATAGCCTGCTGTCTCTCAGGGTGTAGGTTAGCAGGAAACTGGAATTGGAAGCAGAGGCAGAGGCCAGCGCTGTGGCTCAATAGGCTAATCCTCCGCCTTGCGGCGCCAGCACACCAAGTTCTAGTCCCGGTCGGGGCACCGGATTCTGTCCCGGTTGCCCCTCTTCCAGTCCAGCTCTCTGCTGTGGTCAGGGAGTGCAGTGGAGGATGGCCCAAGTGCTTGGGCCCTGCACCCACATGGGAGACCTGGAAGAAGCTCCTGGCTCCTGGCTTTGGATCAGCACAGCTCAGGCCATTGCGGCCATCTGGGGAGTGAACCAGTGGATGGAAGACCTCTCTCTCTGTCTCAACCTCTCTCTGAAACTCCGTATTTCACATAAATAAAAATAAATCTTTTTTTAAATTTAAAAAAAAAATTTTTTTTGACAGGCAGAGTGGATAGAGAGAGACAGAGAGAAAGGTCTTCCTTTGCCGTTGGTGCACCCTCCAATGGCTGCCACGGCCGGCGCACCGCGCTGATCCGATGGCAGGAGCCAGGTACTTCTCCTGGTCTCCCATGGGGTGCAGGGCCCAAGCACTTGGGCCATCCTCCACTGCACTCCCTGGCCACAGCAGAGAGCTGGCCTGGAAGAAGGGCAACCAGGACAGAATCCAGTGCCCCAACCGGGGGTAGAACCCAGTGTGCCGGCACTACCAGGCAGAGGATTAGCCTAGTGAGCCGCAGCGCCGGCCTTAAAAATAAATCTTTAAAAAAAATCTTAACCACTGGGCCAAACACTTGCCCAATACTTCTCATTCTTAATAGCACTCACAGGACAGTTGCCTTCCAGAACAATTGGCTGGAATACACAATTTGCTGTTTTAGCAGCTGTAGGTGAATTTCTTTTCTTGAGGAAATTATCTATACTAAGACAGCCCCTTTGACTTTTCCTCAATTTTATGAATCAAGAAGAGAAAAGAAAGCCATCCTTTAAGTTTTGTCCGGGTATCCACACATTGCTTATTGAGAGTTTCAACAAGTGATGTCTTAGAGTTCACACTGTGAATCTCACAATTTCATTCAAAGTATTTAGCCAGTCATTGCCACACTGTACTCCTCATGGAAACAACAGTGGCCTGGTGGCTTCCACTTGCCACTATTTAAAGTAAAATATACCAGCAGAAAATAAGCGAGAAAAGTGGGTGTTCAGCCTAGTGGTTAAGATGCCTGTGTACCACGTTGGAGCACCTGGCTATAAGGAATACAGTGGTGATGGCTCAGGTAATAGGGTCCCTCACACCCACACTGGAGAACTGGATTGAGTTCCTGGCTCCTGGCTTTAGGGCAGCCCAATCCTGACCATTGTAAGCATTTGGGGAATGAGCAAGTGCATGGGAGTTCTCTCTTTCTCTCTCTCTCTCTCTCTCTGCCTCTCAGATTTCAAGAAAAAGTGTAATAGCTGAGGATTTTCACTGGATTATAGTGTTTTCAATCATTTTTAATGGAGGATAAATTGAGGATGACACTGAAAGTTAAAACACAAGGATGTCACAGCGTGACATCATGTGAGAATTAAGAATTTTAGAGACCCTAATGAAAATTGTGAAGCATCGTGTTTAACACAACGAGAGCTTGTTTCTTAGTTGGAAAGCTTATTGTCTCGGACCTAAAAGAATATGTTTTCCTGTTTCACCAGAGAGGTTTTTTGAAGACCACGAAAATGTTGTTGAAGTCCTATCAGATTGGACAAGAGACACAGAAAATAAAGTACTGTTTTTGGAGAAAGAGGAAAAATATGCCGTATTTAAAAACCCCCAGGTAAGATGACTTGGATGTTGTTAGACCATACAAAGTGTGATGGGTTTTTTAATGTCTTCTGTGTACTGACCACAATATTTATTATCACAAACTCAACTCCTGAGCCATGTGTGAACGAAGAGCCCTTTGAAAGACTCGAAGAGAAAAGAATCTGCTTTGTTTCTTTTAGTTCAGAATGCAAGCATATTTTTCTGACACCTGTCCCTGTTTCTGTTGGTTCTGTGAGTCCCGTAGACCCAGATGCACTGCTGATTACTGGTGCTTCCTGTCCTGAAGCTGCTCTTCTCTTTGGTGTTCTTATTTGGTGCCTACAGATGCTAGGCTCCCTAAAGAAAGCACCCGGGAAGTGTTCGCTTTATTGTGTTTCCCTCCTACAATCAGCCCACACACATAAAAGGCATTATTCTTTGTGTGTGGTGTATGGGTCTACCTGGTGTGTGTGCATGTGGTATGTGTGTATGTGGTGTTTATGTAGATGCGCACGTGTGGGAGTGTAGGTAGGTGGATATAGGGTGTATGTGGTGTGCTTCCCTCAGGTGCCCAAGGACGTCACCGAGCCGTCTCGCCCTTTCCCGTTGTGGCCTCAAGCTCCTGTAACTGTAGGAGTCATTAGACTAGAATATTAGGATGGAAGGCATCCTCAGGGTTATCCTGACACCTTTCCATTTTATAGGTATGAAAACCAACTGCTGGATCTCCAGGGACAGAATTGGTAGACTCCATATCAGCTTCCCATGGGAAAATGCTCTCCCTTGTACTGTGCTATTGTCCAAGTTCTTCCCTAGGTTACACAGTGGCCAACTGACAACAAAATAACTAAATAATATTGGTTGTGATAAATATCAAACACTGCGAGTACAACATTCTCACCCTAAAGCTACTTTCAAGACCCTGCCTTAATATCTGTGTTAGTGAGGGAACCATCGGAACTACCGTGACAAAGACATTCTCTACATCAGTGTGTCATGCAGGCTGCACGCTGAGTTCTCTCGCACATACAGGTCAGACAGAGGCAGGGAGGTTTTCACAGCAAGGTTCTGCCATTGGCCAAGGCAACTTTGTCATGTGACTTCTCTCCAGCCAACAGACAGAGAAAGAGAGCCAGGGGAAGACACAACCAGACTTCCGCTGACATGTGACGTGGTGACACTAGCTATGAGAGCAGCTGAGAAATGCAGTGTCTGCCTGAACAGCTGAGACATTCAGTACTGCCTCTTTGTAAAGTCCTCCAGGAGGCGCCTCTCACACTGTATCTACAGCAACGTTGCCCAGGAGCAAAAAGCAAGAGGAGAAAGGGGAGGGTGGGTAATAGTGGGCATTAGCAGTTTCCCACGATGTCTGATGAATAGGTGCACACATCACAGCTGTGCAATCCTTGGGATTTTTACCAAGTAAATAGAGCCATGACACCACCCCCATAGGAGCAGGGGCAGGGAACTTACTTTCTGCCAAGGGCCATTTGTATATTGATAACATCATTTGCAGGCCATACGAAATTATCAGCTTGAAAATAAGCCTGCTATGGATTTATTGAACTTCCAGTCCTGCTTGCATTGCCTTGGCAGGGCCAGACAAGTGATCTCAGGGGCCTCATATGGCTGTGGGTGGAGTGTTCCCCACCCCTGCCTTAGAGCATCAACAGAGCTCCTGCAGGCTCGTTGACGCCCCCTCCTGGTCACTACTCCCCCTTACAGAGGTCTTCACTATTCCCCTGTCTTTTGTTCACTTTATACAAGCTTTATACCTGCATTAGTTTATACTTTATACCTGCATTTGTTCACTTTATACAAAATGCAATCAGATGATAGTACTCTTTCGTGTTTCGCTTTCTTACACCTTTCATCTCTGTTGCCTCTAGCAGGAGTTGGTTCTCTTTCATTGCAAATGGAATCTTTTGTGCTCTTTCATTTAGGATTTTGTTGCGTGACTCTGCCAAAATACATTCATCCATTATGCTGTTGCTAGACACTTGACTTGCTTCAGTTGGGGGCGTTAGCAGGTACTGTAGTTGGGAATGTCCTGTACATGTCTTCTGTTGAACATCTGTAGACATGTCTTGTACAAATACACATATGAGTTCCATTGCTGGATCATAGATTATGCATATGTGTAGCATTAGAAGAGTCCACCACGAAGTCTTCCAGGAAGATTCTATGACATGGCCTCATCATTGTGTGAGAATTCCTGCAGTTCCAAGTCCTTGGCAGCCCCTGGGGTTGCCAGTGTGTCAGCCATTTTGTGTTGTGTAACGGTACCCCCTGTGGTATTAAGTTGAATTTTCCTGAGCCAGTGGTACAAGTTCCTTTCCAAGTGTGTGTCATCCATTTGTCCACTTTTCTCAAGTCCTTGGCCTCAGCTCTCACCTTGGGCTAAGCGTCTACAAATGCCCTAGGGAAATGTAGCTCTCAGAAGGTCTGCCACCTCGTGTGGTTCCCTGCTGTTTTTTTCCTTTTCACATTTATTCTATTTTTAACTAAAACATACAGATTGTGTGTATTTATGGGAGTACCATGTGCGATCTCTATACATGTGTGCATTGTGTAATGTTCAGATCAGGTAAACATACCTTTCTTTTCAAACATTTATCAGTTCTTCATAGTGAAAACATTCAAAACGCCTTCTTCTAGCTTTTTATCTTGGGGATGATGCATGGTACCTTATCATTTCCTGTAGTTCAGTGGAAACCCAGAACTTCTTTGTTATCTGACTGTGACTTGGCACCGTTAATCGGTCTTTCGCCCACCCTCCTTCCCCGCTACTCTCCTCAGCCTTTGGTAATCGCCATTCAACTCTCGACTTCTGTAAGGTCCACGCTCTCAGATCCCACGCAGGAGGTCATGTGGCGCTTGTCTTTCTGTGGCTGGCTTCCTCCATTTAACATAATGGCCTCCTGTTGTTGCAGGTGACAAGATTCCATTCTTTTTTTTTATTTTTTGTTTAAATTTTTTTATTTTTTGACAGGCAGAGTGGACAGTGAGAGAGAGAGACAGAGAGAAAGGTCTTCCTTTGCCGTTGGTTCACCCTCCAATGGCCGCCGCGGCTGGCGCGCTGCTGCCGGTGCACTGCGCTGATCCGAAGGCAGGAGCCAGGTGCTTCTCCTGGTCTCCCATGGGGTGCAGGGCCCAAAAACTTGGGCCATCCTCCACTGCACTCCCGGGCCACAGCAGAGGGCTGGCCTGGAAGAGGGGCAACCGGGACAGAATCCGGCGCCCCGACCAGGACTAGAACCCAGTGTGCCGGTGCCGCAGGCGGAGGATAGCCTAGTGAGCCGCAGCGCCGGCCAAGATTCCATCCTTTTTACGGCGGGGTAGCATTCCATTGTGCCCATGTACCACGTTTTCTTCTTCTGTTCATCAGCAGCTGATGGACGTTCGGGCTATTCCTTGTCTTAGCGATTGTTTACTTAGACCCCCGTGTCACAGTAAACACAGGGGTGCAGATGTCTTTGACAGATTTCATTTTCTCAGGATGTAGTGGGGTTGCTGGATCATGTGGCAGTTCTATTTTTAGTTTCCTTCAGGAGTCTCCATACTGTTTTCCACCATGCCTGTGCTAATTTACATTCCCACCAGTAGCATGCAAGGATTCCCTTTTTTCCACATCCTTGCTGACTCTCTTGGATCTTTTCCCCGTGAGTCCTGCCTGCCCCAGCAGTTCTCCCAAGCCCTCATGCAGAGTTTTTTAATCCAGCTTGTCTAGCTGTTTGGGTGGTGCTTTCCCCTACTGCAAGCTGCTACCATAGTGAGTAGAAATCCTCCTAAGGAATGCTTTAGTCTGGGGCCGGCACCCGTGGTGCAGTAGGTTAATCCTCCACCTGCGGCGCCGGCATCCCATATGGGCACTGGGTTCTAGTCCTGGCTGCTCCTTTTCCAATCCAGCTCTCTGCTGTGGTCTGGGAAAGCAGTGGAAGATGGCCCAAGAAGAAGCACCTGGCTCCTGGCTTTGGATCGGCGCAGCTTCAGCCATCGTGGCCATGTGGGGAGTGAAACAACAGAAGGAATGCTTTAGTCTATTATGTTCTTCAAAACCAAGTAGGGTGGTGGCGCCACGGCTCACTTGGCTAATCCTCCGCCTGCAGCGCCGGCACCCCGGGTTCTAGTCCCGGTCGGGGCACCGGATTCTGTCCCGGTTGCCCCTCTTCCAGGCCAGCTCTCTGCTGTGGTCAGGGAGTGCAGTGGAGGATGGCCCAAGTGCTTGGGCCCTGCACCTCCTGCTTCGGATCAGCGCGGTGCGCCGGCTGCAGCACGCCGGCCGTGGCGGCCATTGGAGGGTGAACCAACGGCAAAGGAAGACCTTTCTCTCTCTGTCTGTCTCTCTCACTGTCCACTCTGCCTGTCAAAAAATAAGTAAATAAATAAAAAATAAAAAACCAAGTAGGAGAGATTGTGGCACGGTGGTTAAGATGCCACTAGGGACTTCCGCATCCCATAGCTGAGTGCCTGGGTTCAGGTCCCGACTCCACTTCAATTTCCAGCTCCCTGCTAATGCAGACCCTGGGAGGCAGCAGTGATGGCTGTGGTAGCTGGCTCCCTGCCACCCATGTGGGAGACTCAGATGTAGTGCCAGGCTCCAGGCCTAGCCCTAGCTGTTAAAGACATTTGGGGAATAAACCAGTGGATGAAAGGTCATTCTCTGTTGCTTTTTTCTCTTTTCTGCCTATCAGATAAAATTAAAATAACAAAAATTTTCAAGACACAGGTAGGTAGATTCTTTTAATCTCCAATCAAATTTAAAGACCACAGTTGAAGTGGAGGCATGATTGAAATGGATGGTTTTAAGTATTTACATTTTCTCAGTGTTTGGCTAAATAATCTCTTCTGATCAGTGCACTGCATGGATCGTGGGTGCAGTGTGGCTCCCACTAGGGTAACAGAAGTGAACTGTGACCATTCTCATACTGATGCCTTGGCTCCTAAGAGGGAGGCATTAAAATTTTTGAATTACTTGAAATCTGTGATAGTCCTGTACTTTGATAGGTTTTTAAAAAACCATCAGCCTTA